CCACCCCCACCCCCCTCACCCCCAAGTTTTTCAAATTCAAAGGTTGGAATAGTTCATTATGAAATTTCAGGGGTGAATTTGTTAATAATAATATCTGTATTAGCACAACTGATACCATAACACACAGAAAGTCGGTATTTAACCGACAGAAATATAAGAGTATGTATTCAAAGATTCCAGCTTTCTCATAACAAATGCATACACAACTACCCTCGCAAAAAACATTGCTGTCTCTCTTGTAAGATAATCTCCACTTTCTGTTCGGTTACAAAGATTCAATTATATAAAAGTATCTATAGCTTTCTATGGTACTCAATAAATATTAGAAAATTGGTTATGAATGAAAATGCATTTAGGATTGAATGTAAACAAAATTCAACGAATGGAATACTGCACAAGCAAACTAATAAATACCCAAGTTAAACACCGCTAAGTAGTGACACTGGGTTTGTGCTTCAACTTGTTTCTGATGTGGAGACCAAGATTTACTTGGGGACATTCGCAAGATTTTGTTTTCATGTGTTTATCAACATTTTACAATACACCTGTTCGCTTCAACACATTTGCAAATCATACAAAAATCCAGTAGATTTGTAACTGTGTATATCATTTGTGTATCATCACAACAAAATTGTTTGTTTCTTATAGCATGTCCACACAACAACAGCCGTTCTATACACAATAATACACATAGAACACGACTTCTCGTCATTCAAAGTGTACTTTCATGCAAAATAGAATCTAAATGATCCGAAACAAGTACTTCCAGTAAAACGACACGTATTGATGTAGCCTACTCCTGTAGACTTTCAAGCAACCCGATGTAATTGTTGATTTTGTCGCGAACTTCAAAGTGGTCCCTAACCTCGACCATCCTTATATTCCCGGCGTAATAGCAGTCAATGATTTTAACGTCCTGGAATGCCTTAAGTGCATTCTTTATGGACTCGAAAGCAGCACTCTCAGCTGGAAAAGAAAAAATATCCAAAATCACTGATAGAAAACTATTTTATTACAATCATATACAGTATTTTCCATTATGGATTGGAAAGGAAAGATATAATCAAGTTTGTTTTCTCTATAATTGTAGAAGCTTCTTTCTTGTCAAATGAATCAAGGATTAGTTCTGCAAATCTTGAACGTACCATACCACTTGGTTAGTATTAAGTTATCACACAGGAAGGTCAAACAATGAGCTTTTTTTGTGTATGACCAGGGACCTGTTCGTCTATGCAGAACAAACATTTCAGGCATAAATCCTGGCGGACTTACAAATATTTATGCAGGCCTTGCAAGGCTTTGTCAAAGCTCACCTGAAATCAGCATCAGATTACTAGGTCCGAGCTTATTTCATAAACGAACAACTCAGGTCCAATCGGTTCAATCGGTTGAACTGCAATAAATGAAAGCGACCCAGCCATCCCCTATTCATGGGAGATCACTCTAACCTATTATAAACTTACCATAGCCATCTATCCCCTGTTCATGGGAGATTACTATGACCTATTATAAACTTACCATACCCAGCTATCCCCTGTTCATGGGAGATTACTATGACCTACTATAAACTTACCATAACCAGCTATCCCCTGTTCATGGGAGATTACTATGACCTATTATAAACTTACCGTAGCCAGCTATCCCCTGTTCATGGGAGATAACTCTGGCCGATTATAAACTTACCATAGCCAGCTATCCCCTGTTCATGGGAGATTACAATAACCTATTATAAACTTACCATAGCCAGCTATCCCCTGTTCATGGGAGATAACTCTGGCCGATTATAACTTACCATAGCCAGCTATCCCCTGTTCATGGCAGATTACTCTGGCCGATTATAAACTTACCATACCCAGCTATCCCCTGTTCATGGGAGATTACTCTGGCCGATTATAAACTTACCATAGCCAGCTATCACCTGTTCATGGGAGATTACTATAACCTATTATAAACTTACCATACCCAGCTATCCCCTGTTCATGGGAGATTACTATGACCTATTATAAACTTACCATACCCAGCTATCCCCTGTTCATGGGAGATTACTATAACCTATTATAAACTTACGGTAGCCAGTTATCCCCTGTTCATGGGAGATAACTCTGACCGATTATAAACTTACCATAGCCAGCTATCCCCTGTTCATGGGAGATAACTCTGACCGATTATAAACTTACCATAGCCAGCTATCCCCTGTTCATGGGAGATTACTCTGGCCGATTATAAACTTACCATACCCAGCTATCCCCTGTTCTACTCTGGTCCTGGCGAAGGCATGTACACTCTGCAGGAAATCATTCTCTGTCAACACAATATATATACATCAACTCAGGAAAAACCTTCAGGAAAATGATGATGTATACTGATGAAAAACACTTCCTATTTAGGATACCAGTGAACTTGACATTTGGCCTTAGTGTGTTTGAAATCCTATACTGAATAATTCTATAAAGTTAACCTTTCAACCCTATAAAACTTAACTGGACTCTACCATGCATTGATCTGGATGTTTGATCATTATGGTCTACAGTGATGAAAGGGTCCAATTTAAAACAAATCATAGAACAAGGAACCAGAATAATGACAACTGGATATGTGATGTAACAATACATTCTTCTAATAAGAAATTTAATAAGAAAACTAATGGACAGCGGCATTGGGTGCCTCTATATCCATACCTTATAACTCTCTTTCGGATATCTGTTTGTAACTAGCCAAATGATTGTATTTAAGCTGTAGGTTTTGCCAATGTTTGTCTAAATTGATTTCAAAGTCTCTTATACTAGTAGTTGTTGAATTCATGACAAATTCGGGGAGACCATTCCAAATATGGATAGTTCTGAAACTAAATGAGTAAAGTGGAATTATACAGCCCCACCCCTATCCAATATGTTATACTTATGTTGATGCAAGACAAAGTAAGGGCAGATAATCCAGATTATCCAATATGTTCTACTTATGTTTTGTAGGGATGGATATGCAAGACAAAGTAAGGGCAGATAATCCAGATTATCTAATATGTTAACTACTGCCATGTTGCAATATTTGGTGCATTGTAAAGTGCTAAGCATAAACATTATTTTATGAATGAAAGTAATTTCCAACATACTATTTAGAGAGCATTTGGTTGTGTTATTAAATCACTGTCATTTTATTGAAATGAACTATACTTTTGACATATTCATCCTGTAATGGTAAGTTTCATTTACGATGTCTCTAAAGTAGTATATTTGCAAATAAAAGCTGAAATAGTATCAAATATCAAAAACTCGCTCAATTATACTACGAATACAAGTTTTAAAGAACACGTTACTGTTTAAACTAGGAGTGCTTAGATGTGCCGAATATCCCGACAGCTCTGTAATTACCTGGCAGCTCTGTAGTGAGGTTGGTGTTTATTTGACGTGCAGTCAACAGGTACGACTCGAGGAATGGTGCCAGTACGTGGTGAAGGAACACCATGTTCTCGACACAGTCACGACGCTCCATGTTAGCCTACAAGTTCAGCAAAGCCAGATACACAATGAAAAATCTTACCTCTACTCAAAATTACTAAAACATTAATCATCTTTTTATACAGATATATATATTTTTTGTATCATGTTTGCTTTAGCTATAATTCCCAGAAATCTTTATTCTAGGAAGTTCAAATGAACACAGACTTATTCCAAACAAGATATCCTTTAAAATGCTGGAAGACGTTCTTTAACGAATTATAATTTCTTGCAATTGTAAATCACTCTTGTATTAAACAAACTACTACGTATTTGGATTTTTAACTCCTTCGCCCCAGAAATTTCATAATGAACTGTTCCAACATTTGTATTGGAAGAATTTGAATGTGTCTTCAGGGGTGAATTAGTTAACATTTCATAGTTAAGTTAAAATATTAATAAATTTGAGTTGAAAATAAAGGAGTTTCTCTCCCTTTATAACTTGAGTTGGTAAATGGACAACAAATACAAAATAACTGTTAGCCTCACCACTATGCTTTGGATAAAACATTGGTTAACGACCTTGGTCAACTTTGGTCCTCCTCTTTCATTTTGATATCTCTACCAAACATCACACAGTGTTCTCTACCATACATCACACAGAGTGTTATCTACTATACATCACACACAGTGTTCTCTACCATACATCACACAAAGTGTTATCTACCATACATCACACAGTGTTCTCTACCATACATCACACAGAGTGTTATCTACTATACATCACACACAGTGTTCTCATTACTACATCACACAAAGTGTTCTCTACCAAACATCACACAAAGTGTTATCTACCATACATCACACTGTGTTCTCTACCATACATCACTATACATCACACACAGTGTTCTCTACCATACATCACACACAGTTTTCTCTACCATACATCACACTGTGTTCTCTACCATACATCACACAGTGTTATATACCATACATCACACAAAGTGTTCTTTACCATACATCACACTGTGTTCTCTACCATACATCACACAAAGTGTTCTCTACCAAACATCACACAAAGTGTTATCTACCATACATCACACAGTGTTATCTACCATACATCACACTGTGTTCTCTACCATACATCACACAGAGTGTTATCTACCATACATCACACAGTGTTCTCTACCAAACATCACACAAAGTGTTCTCTACCATACATCACAAAGTGTTATCTACCATACATCACACAAAGTGTTCTCTACCATACATCACACAGAGTGTTATCTATCAAACATCACACTGTGTTCTCTACCATACATCACAAAAAGTGTTCTGTACCATACATCACACTGTGTTCTCTACCATACATCAACATCACACAGTGTTCTCTACCATACATCACACAGAGGGTTATCTACCATACATCACACAGTGTTCTCTACCAACCATCACACAAAGTGTTCTCTACCATACATCACACAGAGTGTTATCTACCAAACATCACACTGTGTTCTCTACCATACATCACAAAAAGTGTTCTCTACCATACATCACACTGTGTTCTCTACCATACATCACAAAAAGTGTTCTCTACCATACATCACACTGTGTTCTCTACCATACATCACACAAAGTGTTCTCTACCATACATCATACAGTGTTCTCTACCAAACATCACACTGTGTTCTCTACCAGACATCACACAAAGTGTTATCTACCATACATCACACTGTGTTCTCTACCATACATCACACAGAGTGTTATCTACCATACATCACACAAAGTCTTCTCTACCATACATCACACAAAGTGTTCTCTACCATACATCACACAGAGTGTTATCTACCATACATCACACAAAGTCTTCTCTACCATACATCACACAAAGTGTTCTGTACCATACATCACACAAAGTGTTCTCTACCATACATCATACAGTGTTCTCTACCAAACATCACACTGTGTACTCTACCAGACATCACACAAAGTGTTATCTACCATACAACACACAAAGTGTTATCTACCATACATCACACAAAGGGTTATCTACCATACATCACACAAAGTGTTCTCTGCCATACATCACACAGTGTTCTCTACCATACATCACACTATGTTTTCTACCATTCATCACACTGTGTTCTCTACCATACATCATACAGTGTTATCTACCAAACATCACACTGTGTTCTCTACCAGACATCCCACAAAGTGTTATCTACCATACATCACACAAAGTGCTCTCTACCATACATCACACAAAGCATTCTCGTAGAGAACACAGTGTTCTCTACCATACATCACACTATGTTCTCTACCATACATCACACTGTGTTCTCTACCATACATCACACAGAGTGTTATCTACCATACATCACACAAAGTGTTCTCTACCATACATCACACAAAGCATTCTCTACCATACATTACACAAAGTGTTTTACTCTGGTACCTTAATGAACTGCTCCTGGAAGATTCCTCCGTCGATCTCTTCATCCTCCCAGCAAACCTCGGCAAACTGCTTTGACATCCGTGCATTGATAGGGTCAATGTTTGCACTCATCTAGAAATCCAAACATCATAAAGGGTAAGAAAATGATACTTCTAAGTTGTATCACAAAGCATCAAACGAAACAAGAGTACCACAGGGTGGAACTATACACGCCCGTCCCATGTCAATCTTACATACAACAAGAGTGGAACAATATACGCCCGTCCCATGTCAATCTGACATACAACAAGAGTGGAACAATATACACCCGTCCCATGTCAATCTGACAAACTTATAATACTCCTGATGCATTAGTGTATCTAAATGTATGGAAATGTAAGGAGAAGGAACAACATTTGTATTGTATCACTCATAAAGTTCAGAACTATTCCTGGAATGGGGTGAAAGGAGAAAACATACTATACCAGCCACCCTTTGCACATATTTCAAACCATGCTTGCCAATAATTGATATATCTTACACCATTCAAACAAAAGATATTTCTACTGTTTATTATTTACTGACAGATTTCACTATTTAGTGAAGTTAAAATATTGACTAAGTCTCATCATAATCCAGTCATATTTGACAAGTTGTTATGTAGAAACTGTGAACAAATCAGAGCACACAGAATGCTTATTAATTGTGGCAGATTTTACTCAATTTCGAAATAAACCAATCTTTATATAATGTACATGCATACCAAGTTTGAAGCAAGTTACCTTACAAGCAACCAAAGTGTGAACAGACAGACAGACAGACGGCCAGATGCTTAATATATCTAATCAAACATTTAATGGACATTTAAAATATGTCAAAAATGTGTCCTTTGCCTTTGTAACAGGACCGAAAGAATGCAACAGACCAATCCTGCTGACTCTAGACTGATAACTGTCCTTTACTTCATGAACTTTTTACATGTGTGATGAACAGAAAAGAATTAGGGATCGAATTTTCGTATAGAGAAATAATTCAATTATCCGGAACACACTTTTTATTCTAAAGTTAAGAAATGATTTGTAAAATTAGAGTCACACAATGTTACGTGGAGTTGGAACATTACCTGTTGGTCTCGAGACTTGAAGAGTTCGCGGGAGATCAGATGATGTAGAGTTTCTAGAAGTGTCTCCTCAAGTTTATCACACGGCTGGAAAACAATACAGTATATCTTATTAGATAGGAAAAGTTTTATCTCAAATAAAATACAGCTTAAAAAGACAAAATTGATAACTAGTACGAAACATTTCAATGCTCTGAGAGGAATAATGCATACAATAATTTACGACTCAAATATTTTCATTTTCATAGGCTGACACTAGTGTGTTACTGTAAACTTCATTAATCAAATGTTTGGTATATTTTGAGTAACCTTCCTTAATTGTTATAAATATAGATATGGATATCTCCAGGTAATTACCTTATACATACAATGAGGCTTAGATGATGTGAATTGGAACTTTTAGGAACTTTTAAGTAAACCTACATAATTGTGTATGGCAATGGAACCTTATTATAACATTTAACTTTGCTATAGAAAACATCAAAAAGACAAGTTTTTTTTTCTTTTTGATGTTTTCTGTACATGTTGAACACAAGCAATCTTCCAATAATGTTTTCCAATTTTAACAAGAAACTATTTGTCTCCTCAGCAATTCATTTCAAATAATTTTAACTGCAGACATTTTTCAATTTTTCAAGTAAACTTACCGGAATACATATGAATTCATATCTGAGCAGTTTACATATTTCACAGGCTGTGTCCATGATATCGTCCGTGGAAGCAGACATGACGTCGGCAGTCCTTGATTGACTTGGAACAAACAGCCCAATATCACAGTGGTATATCACAGAGCAAACTGGGAAAGATAAAGCGAAACATACAGTATACTGGTAGTTGTTTAATTTTAAGGAGCTAATATTTCGCAGTTGTAATCAAAACTACTTCAGGGGAATTAAATTTCACGAAATCATTGCCAAGTAAAAATACTGCACCTACTTTTGTATTTGACAGTAAAAGAGTGACAGGTCTTTTGTTTTATCTCTGTTTACACAATGGTGTTTATATTCACTGAGTATTCTATTTTGCACTATCTTTGTCACTGCGAATACACTGTATACCGAAACAAAATTCACTGCAGTTGAGTTTTTTCCTTTTCCGCCCTCTGTTATGAGAGCGAACATTTGTAAGCAACACAATAGTAATTAAATATACGAATTTAATATTTTGGAAAAAAAATTGGATTTTTCGCTTCAAAGGACTTAAAGGTTTACTCCAGGGTATCAGCTTAGCACAGATAAAGTAAAATCCTACTTACCTAGCACACTCTCCAGTAGATAGGCCAACACTAGTGTGTTACTGTAATAAAGTTAGATCCTACTTACCTAGCACACTGTCCAGTAGATAGACTGACACTAGTGTGTTACTGTAATAAAGTTAGATCCTACTTACCTAGAACACTCTCCAGTAGATAGGCCGACACTAGTGTGTTACTGTAATAAAGTAAGATCCTACTTACCTAGCACACTCTCCAGTAGATAGGCTGATTCTAGTGTGTTACTGTACTAAAATAATATCCTTCTTACCTAGCACACTCTCCAGTAGATAGACTGATACTAGTGTGTTACTGTAATAAAGTTAGATCCTACTTACCTAGAACACTCTCCAGTAGATAGGCCGACACTAGTGTGTTACTGTAATAAAGTAAGACCCTACTTACCTAGCACACTCTCCAGTAGATAGGCTGATACTAGTGTGTTACTGTACTAAAATAATATCCTTCTTTCCTAGCACACTCTCCAGTAGATAGACTGACACTAGTGTGTTACTGTAATCAATTATTTTTCAGATCCTACTTACCTAGCACACTCTCCAGTAGATAGGCCGACACTAGTGTGTTACTGTAATAAAGTAAGACCCTACTTACCTAGCACACTCTCCAGTAGATAGGCTGATTCTAGTGTGTTACTGTACTAAAATAATATCCTTCTTACCTAGCACACTCTCCAGTAGATAGACTGATACTAGTGTGTTACTGTAATAAAGTTAGATCCTACTTACCTAGCACACTCTCCAGTGGATAGACTGACACTAGTGTGTTACTGTAATCAATTAAGACCCTACTTACCTAGCACACTCTCCAGTAGATAGACTGACACTAGTGTGTTACTGAAATCAATTATTTTTAAGATCCTACTTACCTAGCACTCTCTCCAGTAGATAGGCTGATACTAGTGTGTTACTGTACTAAAATAAGATCCGTCTTCCCTAGCGCACTCTCCAGTAGATAGACTGACACTAGTGTGGTACTGTAATCAATTATTTTTAAGATCCTACTTACCAAGCACACTCTCCAGTAGATAGGCTGACACTAGTGTGTTACTGTAATCAATTAAGATCCTACTTACCTAGCACACTCTCCAGTAGATAGGCTGATACTAGTGTGTTACTGTACTAAAATAATATCCTTCTTACCTAGCACACTCTCCAGTAGATAGACTGATACTAGTGTGTTACTGTAATAAAGTTAGATCCTACGTACCTAGCACACTCTCCAGTAGATAGACTGACACTAGTGTGTTACTGTAATCAATTATTTTTAAGATCCTACTTACCTAGCACACTCTCCAGTAGATAGGCTGACACTAGTGTATTACTGCAATAAAGTAAGACCCTACTTACCTAGCACACTCTCCAGTAGATAGGCTGATACTAGTGTATTACTGTAATAACTCAGCTCAAACACAGTAGGTAGACTCAGCACTGGTTCCACCCAGTCGTCACAGTCACTAGTGCTGGACCTGTAGTCACAAAGTAATAATTTATCTCTATATCATTAGAGAATTGCAATAGCCAAGATATTAAAGGTTGTAGTAACAATAATATCATGTCTAACTGAATTCACAGCTACTTGGTGGTATATATGGTATTACTATAGAATGATAGAAATGTATTCAAACATTGAACAAATTGTATACCAATATATTTAAAAGCATCTTTGAGTGGTTTATTTCAGCTAGATACAGTATTTACTATATCTAAAATGTGATATGATGATACATGTACAAGAATATTCCACTTCTTTTTTGAGAACAAGAAAAATCTTCAACAAGGCGACCGCTAAGCGGTACATAATATGCCCGTCACACATTGAATTGAATAAAGCTATCATAGTAATTAACCTTCCCATGAAGTTTGGAATAAATCTGTTGAAAATTACTCATGATATCAAGCAGACACCGTTTCAGCAATTGATCAAAGGGGCATAACTCAGTAAATTACCAAAAACAACCGATAATTGATTATCGCAGACACCGTTTCAGCAATTGATCAAAGGGACATAACTCAGTAAATTACCAAAAACAACCGATAAGTGATTATCGCAGACACCGTTTCAGCAATTGATTAAAGGGACATAACTTGGTAAACTACAAAAAACATCGGATAATGGTGGTAAACGAACGGGCGTATGAAAATATGAAATTATATGCTGAGCTGAAATCAAAAGTAATGTATCATGAAAAGAATCATTAATTCAAGGAACAATGTATAGCGATAACTCAACAATCCAGCTGTATCTGTTTCCAACGAAAGTGGCGTGATTGTAAGACAGGAGGTTTACTGGGACAATTTTGTACAGAAAATTGAATTTGGTTTTTGTCTAAAATACTGATGAGAGAGACGAACAACTGAATGAGAAGTACATGTATTTGAATAAACGAGGCTCCACTATCAGTTTAAATGATTAGAGAAATAAAGAAACATGTTCAGTGAAAGTCCAAACTGACCTCTGAACCAAGTTGGTGCCCAGGAGAGCACATGTATAGTGTGTGACCTCACTTGAGCTGCCCACAAATGCAACATCCCGGTTACGATTTTTCATTTCTTGTCTCAGCCAATCAAAATCTTGTATTAACTGCTTCATGCTTGTCCCCTGTAGGATAATCATGTAAACACTGTAACGTCGTTAACAATACCACAGATCCTAGATCAGCTGTAGCTGCCAGGGTAACATGCTAATGGGAGTAGATATACAAAATTACACACAAAAATTACCCTCTACAAATAACAAGATCTTTACATTTGTTGATAAAAAATCAAGGAAACTGATATTAGAAATTAAACTGATGAATGAGAACTACAAGGCACTTTTAGTTTGAAAAGTTGAATTATGAAATTTTTTGAATTTTATAACATAAAAAAGGGTATCTACATAAACCCATTGTTTAAATGGACTCGCAGAAATTTTCAGAGGTGCTTAGTTTGAGGTTTTTGGTGCCATTTCATGATTCTATATTGTGATGTCATAGAGCACAGGAACTTGAATTTCTATCAGAATGGTCTATTTAAGCTCAGAGAACTGATTAAGCCCAATATATACCCCCCTTACCGTGTAACATTTCCAATGGACATTATGTCGACTTAGTTGAAGATGTACCATCTTGATTCATGTTATTCAAATGATTTGTGTTCAAAAATGACAGCCATTTATTCACTGCAGCTTAATTTTCGCCTTTGATAATAAGGGTGAATTTATCATAACAACAATATTTGTAAACAACATAATATACATAGTAATTCAATATGAAGGGCGAATTTAAAACTGGGCGTAAATGGATTTTAACATCAAACAGCAAAAACTTGAGAGGGCGAAAATTTTCTGGTATTTACAGTTTAACAAAACAGACTTCTTTCAATCAGAAAGTTGGTACTCACCTCCCTGTGTTTGGTAAGGAGGAGGAAAGCCAACATATTGGTACACATCACTGGTGTAGCGTGGACGCAGGCTGTAACGATAAATATCTAGTCATTATGTCGTCCTTAACACAACTCCAATCACCATATATCACTAGTGACAAGTCTATGATCACAATAATTTCTTTCAGGGATATTTCCGTTTAAGCAGACAAAATTGCCAAATCTTGTGATCTGATCAACTTTTCAGGAGTATTTTATCCAGATTTGTTAAGCCTGAGTAAAATTTATGCTAAACTGCTTTGATTTATCATTAACTCCCAAAAAAGCAATGTTCACCAATGGACAAACCCGTACAACCACACCAACAAAAGTGGTCTTGAACTCTTGGATCCCAAACATTCTCTGCATACTGAACTATGTACAGTCAAAAGTGCATTCCAACAACTGTTAGGTAAGAGGAATTCCTGTGTACGATGTGTTTCGACAACTGTGTACGATGTGTTCCTACAACTGTTATGTACGAGGACTTACTGTGTACGATGTGTTCCGACAACTGTTTGATCGCATGTCTCTGATCCTCGACCATGATGTCGGTACCGAAAAGCGAGCTAACACTGCCTGCCTTGTGAATGGGAGGGGGTGACTCGGGAGGGCTTTCCTGGCCCGATAAGTCACTACCACTGTTGGGAGGCGAGACCTGCACAGGCTGGATCTTCAAAAGATACTCCTAAAACAGACATGAGATAAACAAAATGTCAACAATATCAAACGTGATAACCATAAAACACAAGAAATAAAAGACATCTTTAACTCCAACAAAAATCAGGCAATCCACAGCAGGATATCTCCCTTTAAATCCAAGAAAATATGCAGAGCATGCACAATCAATGAGACAGAAATTATGTCTTTAATCCTGAGACACTGAAATCTGATGGACATAAATCAGCCCTTCTGAACGCATATTTATTATTGTACCACACTTGGAGAGCGCAAGATAATACAAAACAGTGTTATCATAGTCACGTTTTACGGGGGGAAACATGCAAGATAGTACTAATGCCCTATCATTCATGTGATCTAAAAATGTGGGGGTAGTTCTGTAGATTTTCCTCTACTCCAATGGTTTCAACTTATATATTGTCCTCACAGATTGTTGTATTACCTTGAGGGAGAAAGGCTGACAGAATTCCACCCTCACACTTCCAAAGTCACTACAGAAGACGCGCCAGATTGCCTTCAAGGTACCAATAAATGTCTCCTTTACTTTGGGTAGACCCTGAAACAGATATCATGATACTATGTAACGGATGAAAGATGTGTCTTGAACATTTACATGTTATTCAATAGAGAGTTCATCAAATATATACTTTAACTCATTCACCCCTATACATCTAAACTGGACTTGCCCAGTCTTTGATTTTGTAAGGTTTATATGTGACTAAAGGGGTAAATTGGTTAAAAAAAATCTCTTTTGCTAAAGTGGCTTGAAAATGTTTCAAATTTACTTTTTTTTTTATTAAAAGATAGTCCAGTCTCAATATGCTTTAATACACAGAAAATCTTGTTTACCAAACAAGTTCATCACTCACCATCTGTTCGTGATTAAAGTTTCCGTCTAGGATCTTCTCGTAGTTTATACTGATAGGTACAATATAAGCATCCTCCATTATGTCTGAAATAGCAAGAACTTTTGCATAGAAACTTGTCAAACTATACATTGATACATAGATTTTATTCTGACAAAAATAGGATTTTACAATCCTTTGACAGTCAGCTCTGAGATAAAAACAAAAAAGACCCAAAGACAGAAAGTAACAATGCACATGATCATTCATGTGAGCTAAAAAAGGTGGAGGGCACTGTATAAATATTGGTCCAGCGACCAGAGTGGACGCCTGAATACACTGAATTGTGATCTGTTTGTTTGCCAGGGTTTTATACTGAGCTCTTGAACAGCTGAGATTTTAACATTAAATTACTAATACATGTCGTTAAGTGTAATTTGACTACAGTAGCACAACTACATGTAAAATCTCGTCAAATAATTCTGAGATACCAGGCCAGACCTTTCAATTTTGAACATTGTTATATCTTGTACAGCGTTATGTATAAACTAAAAGCATGTTGTTGTAATGTCATTCTTTTCTTCATAAAGTGTTTACATACACAATTATCATCAAAGTTAAACTTAACGACTAAAAAGAGATTTTTATGATAAGATCAACTGACCAATCAAATTTTATTTTACAACCCACTGTTTCCAAATACGAACCATTTAGTTGAGCATCCACAACCACTGACACCAGTCCGCCTTTAGGTTGACACGCCTTGCCAGTACGTGAACGTCCGCCTTCAATGAAAAATTCCAGAGCCTCTCCCCTCTTCAGTAACTCCTGCATGTACTGCAAGACAGAAACCCAACAGATCATCAAAAGGTGATGTTGTTTCATAGATACACCAGATACTCCCATCATGTCTAGAACCGACTCGGTAAGGATCAATACAAAAGTTCGGAAAAACAGATTTTATTATCAATTAACATACTCAGTCAATTCAAATATCAAATAATGAACTATTGAATAACTAATTGTTTGCACAAGACATCAAAACTCAGAAACTCGGATGTTTCTATGTATAGACACAACAAAAAACAAAAGAACCACCATACATGTATATGTATATATGAAAACCTTAATTTCCCTGTTAAAACATGAAAAGTCACAAGATTAAATATTTTTTCAGTTTCATTATGGGATAAATTCTGAAGTATTTTACATAAGAAGATTTGAATGAATGGGTCCTGAAACACTTACAGAGTGTAACACTGCCCGATACACTGTATCCTTTCTACCGACCTTCTTGTCCAGCTTACGTCTGATGAAAAATCCTCCCAGTCCAGTGATTAGGGAGCTAAAAAATGTATAGACACAGTTTCTCGTACATGTAAAATAAAGTGAGATATAAGTGAAATAGCTTCTCAAAAATGTAAATCCTAGAAATAGCTTCTCAAAAATGTAAAACCTAGAAATAGTTTCCCATACATGTAAAACCTAGAAATAGCTTCTCAAACATGTAAAACCTAGAAATAGTTTCCCATACATGTAAAACCTAGAAATAGCTTCCTATACATGTGAAATAATGAAATAGAAGTGTGAAACATTGATACAGGAAAACGGTCTTGAAATTGAATGAATGATGTTTATGCCAACAATACACTGAAGAGTGGTGGTTAAATCACCCGTACACACCTGAAGAGTGGTGGTTAAATCACCTGTACACACCTGAAGATGGGTGGTTTAATCACCTGTACACACCTGAAGAGTGGTGGTTAAATCACCTGTACACACCTGAAGATGGGTGGTTAAATCACCTGTACACACCTGAAGATGGGTGGTTAAATCACCTGTTCACACCTGAAGAGTGTTGGTTAAATCACCTGTACACACTTGAAGATGGGTGGTTAAATCACCTGTACACACCTGAAGATGGGTGGTTAAATCACCTGTACACACCTGAAGAGTGGTGGTTAAATCACCTGTACACACCTGAAGATGGGTGGTTAAATCACCTGTACACACCTGAAGATGGGTGGTTAAATCACCTGTTCACACCTGAAGAGTGTTGGTTAAATCACCTGTACACACTTGAAGATGGGTGGTTAAATCACCTGTACACACCTGAAGATGGGTGGTTAAATCACCTGTACACACCTGAAGAGTGGTGGTTAAATCACCTGTACATACTTGAAGATGGGTGGTTAAATCACCTGTACATACTTGAAAAGTGGTGGTAAAATCACCTGTACATACTTGAAGATGGGTGGTTAAATCCCCTGTACACACCTGAAAAGTGGTGGTAAAAATCACCTGTTCACACCTGAAGATGGGTGGTTAAATCACCTGTATATACCTGAAAAGTGGTGGTAAAAATCACCTGTTCACACCTGAAGATGGGTGGTTATATCACCTGTTCACACCTGAAGAGAGTTGGTTAAATCACCTGTACACACTTGAAGATGGGTGGTTAAATCACCTTTTCACACCTGAAGAGTGTTGGTTAAATCCCCTGTACACACCTGGAAAGTGGTGGTAAAAATCACCTGTACCCACCTGAAGATGGGTGGTTAAATCCCCTGTACACACCTGGAAAGTGGTGGTAAAAATCACCTGTACACACCTGAAGAGTGGGTGTTAAATCACCTGTTCACACCTGACGAGTGTTGGTTAAATCGCCTGTCCACACCTGAAGAGTGGTTGTTAAATCACCTGTTCACACCTGAAGAGTGTGGGTTAAATCACCTGTACACACCTGGAGATGGGGGGTTAAATCACCTGTATATACCTGAAAAGTTGTGTTTAAATCACCTGTACACACCTGAAGATTGGTGGTTAAATCACCTGTTCACACCTGGAGAGGGGTGGTTAAATCACCTGTACGCACCTGAAGAGTGGTGGTTAAATCTCCTGTACATACTTGAAGATGGGTGGTTAAAACCCCTGTACACACCTGAAAAGTGGTGGTAAACCCCACCTGTTCACACCTGAAGATGGGTGGTTAAATCACCTTTTCACACCTGAAGAGTGTTGGTTAAATCCCCTGTACACACCTGGAAAGTGGTGGTAAAAATCACCTGTTCACACCTGAAGAGTGTTGGTTAAATCACCTGTGCATACCTGGAGATGGGTGGTTAAATCACCTGTATATCCCTGAAAAGTGGTTGTAAAAATCACCTGTTCACACCTGAAGATGGGTGGTTATATCACCTGTTCACACCTGAAGAGTGGTGGTTAAATCACCTGTACATACTTGAAGATGGGTGGTTAAAACCCCTGTACACACCTGAAAAGTGGTGGTAAACCCCACCTGTTCACACCTGAAGATGGGTGGTTATATCACCTGTTCACACCTGAAGAGTGTTGGTTAAATCAGCTGTACACACCTGAAGTACACACCTGGAGATGGGTGGTTAAATCACCTGTTCACACCTGAAGATGGGTGGTTAAATCACCTGTATATACCTGAAAAGTTGTGGTTAAATCACCTGTACACACCTGAAGATTGGCATCCTAAGGTTGTCACCAGCGGCAATGTAGGGAGCCTTGATGCTGTAGTTCCACAGTATGAAGGTCACCAATATGTAGTCAAGGTGACTTCTATGTAGGGGAATGTAGATCACAGGATTTCCTCTCTACAAAACAAGATTAACTTCTGTATTTTACTTCTAAACTCACGTTCAGTAATAAAGCCCACCTGATGATGTACAGATCTGACTGATGATGGGGCACATCTTGAAATCAGTATGTACATACAGTAAAACCCTGCTAACTCAAACTCGTAGGGTCAAGATCAATAGTTTGAGGAATACAAGGTATTCGACGAATCTGAGGTTCGACCGACATCATCATTTTTTGATCAGGTGGGACAACAGACAGTACGAGCACTGCAAATATCACGGATAGTAGATGATGGAAGAAAAAAAGAAGTTTGATCGAGAAGACAGCATTTAATAAGATTTAATATAGCTAAACAATGAAAACATATAGCTTACAAGAAAGTAAATAAAATTCAAAAGCTGCATGTGTAACGTACTTGTTGTTTTGACATTGTCCGCCATACTGTAATCGGCTGCGTTAATCTTACAAAATATCAAAACGAGAGGAACTGTTTGATCATTTTAATTTAAAAAGAAGAAAATCTTTAAGTTGAGTCCCTGTTATCATAATGTTGATTGAACAATTAACTTTGAAATTAACAATCATGACGTATTCAAGTTTAAATATCTTTTAAGTTGGTAGAGAATCTGCTATGTGATTTCTGCTCATTATTGCCATGCCAAAATATGGTTTTACACACCCAGTGAGTTAACACTTCCGCCAAATCATCAATATCAAAACATTGTCTGGAAAAAATAAATATGTACACAAAATGATAACGCAGTTACAACAGGGTAACGGTACAGCTACTTAATGATACTGCCGTTAATCCTCTAATTATCTGATGTCCAGCCAACACCTGTATAAACACAATGAGCAAGGACCGCAGCCTTTGTCTCTAGACATGTCAATGGCAGTGCTGGTATGATACACAGATAAAATAACTGTCAGGCGGGACAGGTCACACCTGTTCGACAAAGAGATAGGATTAATACTATGACCATGAAGAGTCGGGACAATTTTTTGTTCGAGGAATACGGGGTATTCGAGGAACAACGGTTCAACTAATCCGGGGTAACTTTACAAAGAATATGTACAAACTTGGTCGGGACCAAACGAACTATCGACGAATAAGGGGTATTCAAGTAAACCGAGTTCGAGGAAGTGGGGTTTAAACTCAAGAAGATGCTTTGTACCCTTTTACCCCCATTTTGAGACTTAGTCACCTGAGACATGGTCTCACTAACCTTTTACATGTAAGGATCCCTGTCCCACTGCACTCTGGTTTTTCGTATATACAGTAACCTCCCCTTAATTTCCTTTTTGATATACATATACAATGTACTATACTTGGACCAGCACACTTCTGTTGTCCGATGGCTTAGCTTAATTATTTTTCATAAAAATTTCATAAATTAACTTTAGATTTTCCCTGAAGGTAAGCAATGCCTTTTCTGTGCATAAATTTTGTAAAGGAAACGCATCCTTAGTCAAGATTTTTACAGCACAATTCTAGGCAAATTCACAGGTTACTTTCTCCTGGAGAAAGCATTGCCACCCATCTCCTAATTTTTTGTTTTTATCATTTTAATTACGTTCCCAAATTTTAACGCCTTCTTTCTGTTTTTAAGAATGTGTGCCTTCAATTTAGCTATGATATTCCAGGGATACAGTGGTGTAAGTGATATTCCAGGGATACAGTGGTGTAAGTGATATTCCAGGGATACAGTGGTGTAAGTGATATTCCAGGGATACAGTGGTGTAAGTGATATTCCAGGGATACAGTGGTGTAAGTGATATTCCAGGGATACAGTGGTGTAAGTGATATTCCAGGGATACAGTGGTGTAAGTGATATTCCAGGGATACAGTGGTGTAAGTGATATTCCAGGGATACAGTGGTGTAAGTGATATTCCAGGGATACAGTGGTGTAAGTGATATTCCAGGGATACAGTGGTGTAAGTGATATTCCAGGGATACAGTGGTGTAAGTGATATTCCAGGGATACAGTGGTGTAAGTGATATTCCAGGGATACAGTGGTGTAAGTGATATTCCAGGGATACAGTGGTGTAAGTGATATTCCAGGGATACAGTGGTGTAAGTGATTGTTTCGAGGATGGATCAGCCTGTTTTTATAACAAGAGGCCCAGAGGGCCTGTATCGCTCACCTGTTTCTTTTGTTACATGCAACAGACATATAGGTAACTTAAGACCATTTGGTAACTAGAACACAAGACATTTTAACATCTCTTAAACGTTCTGACGGTTCTGAAGATATTGTTTGAAACTTAAAATTTTAATTTTAAAGCTTTTAACCAAAGTTGACATTTGAATCCCGATTTGCACTTAAAGTTGACCTTTGACCTCATTACTGTAATGAAGAAAAAAATTCACACAGCTGGTCTTCATAACAAACCTAAGTATCATGACTAGTCAAAATGGTTCTTAGGATATTGTTGTTTGAGGTTTTAACATATTTGACCCCTGTGACCTTGAAAGTAGGTCAAGGTCATGTTAATGAGGAAACTTTATAGCACTCCATCCCAGGTACCTACTGGCAAAATATCATGACCCTGGGCCTTATGGAACTTGAGAAGAAGATTGTTAAAGCTTTTAACCAAAGTTGACATTTGACCCCCGACTTGAATTTAAAGTTAACCTTTGACCTCATTACTGTAATTGAGAAAAATATTCACACTGCTGGTCTACATAACATACCCAAGTATCATGACTCTAGTTCAAATGGTTCTTAGGATATTGTTGTTTGAAATATTTAACATATTTAAACTCTGTGACCTTGAAAGTAGGTCAAGGTCATTTTAATGAGGAAATTTTTAGCACTACATCCCAGGTACCTACTGGCCTAATGTCATGACCCTGGGCCTTATGGAACTTGAGAAGAAGATTGTTAAAGCTTTTAACCAAAATTGACATTTGACCCCCGACTAGCATTTAAAGTTAACCTTTGACCTCATTACTGTTATTGAGAAAAATGTTTGCACTGCTGGTCTACATAACATACCCAAGTATCATGACTCTAGTTCAAATGGTTCTTAGGATATTGTTGTTTGAAATTTTTAACATATTTGACCGCTGTGACCTTGAAAGTAGGTCAAGGTCATTTTAATGAGGAAACTTTATAGCACTCCATCCCAAGTACCTACTGACCAAATATCATGACCCTAGGTCCTACAGTTCTTCAGAAGAAGTTCAAAAGAAAAAGTTGACGGACGGACGACGGACGCTGCAGTATGGCATAAGCTCACATGGCCCTTTGGGCCAGGTGAGCTAATAAACGGATTGGGCAGGGTGTCGTTAACCCTATCCTGTCAGTATTATCACGTTTCAATATAAAGACGATTAACATGAATGACTAGAAAAATATATGGATATTGTGTTAAGATCATCTGGATAAAAAAAAGACAAAAAGTTTGAAGTCAGCCAATGAAAAGGTTTGTATTTACCGCGACAGCTTTTTGCACCATCTCCAACTGTCCTTTGTGTATTTGGACACTGTGCAGGAAATAGGATAGGAACTTCAGCAGGAACCAGCCGGCAAGTCTGTATAAAATATAAACATACCTATGTCCAAATATTATGTGTGTTTCATAACGTTTTTAGAAGCCATCAAGGCAATTATTTGTTAACGTCCTACCAACAGATAGGGTCATTTAAAGACGTGCCAGGTTTTGGTGGTGGTAGGAAACTGGAGTACCCGAGGAAAACTACCAACCTGCAGTCAGTACCTGGCAAATGCTCTACATAGCCAGCAAGGCAAAATCACATAACAATTATTTATGATTAAATATTATAGATATAGCTATTTTTTTACATGAGTTTGTTTGGAGGGGAAAGGTGATACAATGTATAAAAAAAAATTAAAAAAAAAAATCATTTGTAAGACAAAATAACTTCAAGTAAAACTGTTCTCTTCTTTTACATTTTAGCAGAATGATTTAAATTTTCAAATTTACTTTGCAAATGCCTGAACTACCCATGTCTTTCTTAGCTAGTTTCAGACTTTCATCAAGAAAGTCTCTCCCTTTGATACATTAAATATTGTTGGGACCATGAAATAAAACAAAGATAAACAGGTATCTATATATATAGGATATAATAATGGGGTCACCACATATACTGTATAAAGGGAAATTTTCATCGTGGTTTAACTTTTGCCATTTTCACTCTCTTCAATGAGGGCGAATTTATCATGACAGCAAATGTTAGTACACAACCTACAATATATGGTAACTACATGTGATAGGCCAAGATATCACCAGGTGTTTTCAGCAAAGGGCAAATATTTTTACAGGACGAAGTTTTCCCGGTCTACAGTAATAATTAACTAATAGGGTTGACTGTTTAGTTATAATTTCATCAACTTAAATGAAAATTTAACGCTCATTTAAATATGAGATTATGAACTTGATTTTGCGTACCGTAAAAGCCTGTTTGAGATTTTTGCCTGCATTCCACAGAGCAAGTTCTTGGCACCAACATCTCCAGGCAGCATCTGTCCCACACCTTCCTCCGCTAAAAACAGATCATACGTACATTACATGTCATGTGACCATACATTACATCAATCAATGTCATGTGACCATATACTACATCAATCGATGTCATGTGACTATACATTACATCAATCAATGTCATGTGATCATACACTACATCAATCATTGTCATGTGACCATACACTACATAAATCATTGTCATATGACTATAAACACAATTAATATCATGTGACTATACACTACATCAATCAATGTCATGTGACCATACACTACATCAATCATTGTCATGTGATCATACACTACATCGATCATTGTCATATGACTATACACACAATTAATATCATGTGACCACACACTCAATGTCACGTGACTATATATCCTGTTGAATTTTCAAATGACCATACACTGTTAAGTGCCATGTGACCAAACACAATCACAGTGTCATGTGATAATAACGCCACGCGACCATAGTGTCACATGACCTTACAAACATTCAGACAATGTCATCGCTCAGTGGCAGTCTTATACATCTTAACATGAAACAATTCACTGATAGATACTTAATTACAGAGAAACACACCTTCTTCATTCTGCTGCTGCAAAGCTTCTTTGACTCTGAAAGATAAAAGAGAAATGATTAAGCTACAAACATCCTGATGACCCCCCTAGGCCGAGCACCCTTACCTAGGTCTCTTTAGCTGAACATTAAATATATATCATACTACGTCATACATCTTAATGATCTTTAGCTTACAAGTCGGCTCAGAATGCATAATTCAGCATTTAACTGCATTCTACTCTGAATTATAGTCTGATAGTGAGGCTCACCTAGAGCACAGATGTTCAGTATGGTTCCATGTATGGTTAAGTATGAAGAAAAGATGGAAGGAGTACAGAGATGATTCAAAAACAACACCTGTTCCTAGGATCACCAGACTTCCAAACTTTCAAACGCAAATTAAATATACATTTTTCATGGATATCATTCTATAAATAGAATATAGATAAATAGTATTACACTGACCCATGATATTTAACTCCCCTACTATTTATCATATTAATGACAGTAAATAGAGTTACTACGTACCTGTTACAGGTAAGAACGGCCAGTGATACTTCCTTAATCGAGATATGTAGGGGAGTTAAATATCATGGGTCAGTGTAACACTATTTATCATATTAATGACAGTAAATAGAGTTACTACGTACCTGTTACAGGTACGAACAGCCAGTAATACTTCCTTAATTGAGATATGTAGGGGAGTTAACTATCATGGGTCAGTTTAACACTATTTATCGTATTAATGACAGTAAATAGAGTTACTACATACCTGTTATAGGTAAGAACGGCCAGTGATACTTCCTTAATTGAGATATGTAGGGGAGTTAACTATCATGGGTCAGTGTAACACTATTTATCGTATTAATGACAGTAAATAGAGTTACTACGTACCTGTTACAGGTAAGAACGGCCAGTGATACTTCCTTAATTGAGATATGTAGGGGAGTTAACTATCATGGGTCAGTGTAACACTATTTATGGTATTAATGACAGTAAATAGAGTTACTACGTACCTGTTACAGGTAAGAACGGCCAGTGATACTTCCTTAATTGAGATATGTAGGGGAGTTAACTATCATGGGTCAGTGTAACACTATTTATCGTATTAATGACAGTAAATAGAGTTACTACGTACCTGTTACAGGTAAGAACGGCCAGTGATACTTCCTTAATTGAGATATGTAGGGGAGTTAACTATCATGGGTCAGTGTAACACTATTTATCGTATTAATGACAGTAAATAGAGTTACTACGTACCTGTTACAGGTAAGAACGGCCAGTGATACTTCCTTAATTGAGATATGTAGGGGAGTTAACTATCATGGGTCAGTGTAACACTATTTATCGTATTAATGACAGTAAATAGAGTTACTACGTACCTGTTACAGGTAAGAACGGCCAGTGATACTTCCTTAATTGAGATATGTAGGGGAGTTAACTATCATGGGTCAGTGTAACACTATTTATCGTATTAATGACAGTAAATAGAGTTACTACGTACCTGTTACAGGTAAGAACGGCCAGTGATACTTCCTTAATTGAGATATGTAGGGGAGTTAACTATCATGGGTCAGTGTAACACTATTTATCGTATTAATGACAGTAAATAGAGTTACTACGTACCTGTTACAGGTAAGAACGGCCAGTGATACTTCCTTAATTGAGATATGTAGGGGAGTTAACTATCATGGGTCAGTGTAACACTATTTATCGTATTAATGACAGTAAATAGAGTTACTACGTACCTGTTACAGGTAAGAACGGCCAGTGATACTTCCTTAATTGAGATATGTAGGGGAGTTAACTATCATGGGTCAGTGTAACACTATTTATCGTATTAATGACAGTAAATAGAGTTACTACGTACCTGTTACAGGTAAGAACGGCCAGTGATACTTCCTTAATTGAGATATGTAGGGGAGTTAACTATCATGGGTCAGTGTAACACTATTTATCGTATTAATGACAGTAAATAGAGTTACTACGTACCTGTTACAGGTAAGAACGGCCAGTGATACTTCCTTAATTGAGATATGTAGGGGAGTTAACTATCATGGGTCAGTGTAACACTATTTATCGTATTAATGACAGTAAATAGAGTTACTACGTACCTGTTACAGGTAAGAACGGCCAGTGATACTTCCTTAATTGAGATATGTAGGGGAGTTAACTATCATGGGTCAGTGTAACACTATTTATCGTATTAATGACAGTAAATAGAGTTACTACGTACCTGTTACAGGTAAGAACGGCCAGTGATACTTCCTTAATTGAGATATGTAGGGGAGTTAACTATCATGGGTCAGTGTAACACTATTTATCGTATTAATGACAGTAAATAGAGTTACTACGTACCTGTTACAGGTAAGAACGGCCAGTGATACTTCCTTAATTGAGATATGTAGGGGAGTTTACTATCATGGGTCAGTGTAACACTATTTATGGTATTAATGACAGTAAATAGTGTTACTACGTACCTGTTACAGGTAAGAACGGCCAGTGATACTTCCTTAATTGAGATATGTAGGGGAGTTAACTATCATGGGTCAGCGTAACACTATTTATCATATTAATGACAGTAAATAGCGTTACTACGTACCTGTTACAGGTAAGAACGGCCAGTGATACTTCCGGGTATTTATGTATGGTCTTCCTCCTCAGACTGTACACCAGCTGGTCAAACGAAGACTCCAACCAGCCACCGGACCTAAGATCAGAGGTACTATACATCATAGTGTTGTCATGGTGATAACCAACAGATTCTAGTACCTATATTTCTTATCTATATATATCTCTTTTATTTGAATTATCTCCTCCTTAACATCTGACAGTACAAACCAGCCTCAGAGACCATTTGAATATTCATAGAAAATTTGCATCTGTCTATAATGACCTCCTGTCGAATATTTATTATACCCCGGGGGCCAAGGGCCATTTTTGAAGGTAGGTGACACCTGTCTCTAGTTACAACCTGGTTATAATGATAATATCTTTTTGTAAAATACCCAACTGTTTATAGAATTGTCTGAAACAGCCAACTGTCTATAAACTTCTCGAAAATATTAATGGGACAAGTTTAATATCTGACATGATAAACTTTAATTTACATGTCTCTGTTATGCATAAAAAACACAATATATAATATGACTTGGTCAATTGCTCAGATTTTATTTCTGATCTGATAAACTTTGACAAAAGTGGTCATTTCAAAGGTCAAATTCATCAATGAATATAAATTTAAAGATTAAAGAAAGCTATGTCATTCTTCTATCCCTGACAGAATAGGCATACTTGCCAACTTCTCAAAATGTTCATGGGGGAGAAAAGTGGGTGAGGGACACTTTCGACTCGAACCTATACTAACAACGCGTAGCAGAGACAATAGCCATGTCATCACGAAGTATTATCGTCAAGTATATAACCGATTTGCATAGCCCAATAGAAATTGATTTTTATTGTAGACTCTTTCAATTACTTTCCACCATGGCTAATGCTAAAGTCCCTATGACATACCTAAATAGAAATATTTAGAAATATATTTTGTTATTGTCCTACTATCTACCACTAATAAATAATAATATATTTATGAAATTGAAATAATTGGTTACCGGTTATCTATAGTATTATATAGGAAAAGACTAGTATAGGCATAGCCTGTTGTTTTATCCCTTTGTTTGTACTGCTATATTTCTTTATTATTTGTATTATCTTTGTTTTTATTGAAAATAAAATGTTTTGCAGCTGTAAAGATAGATATATTTATAAACTTTAAATACAGTTTGAAAAGTAAGTATTTTTTTTATATGAGATTGCTAAAATCAATTTCAGGAAATGCAGGTTATTCATGATAATTTATTCATAATGTCATTGTCAACTGCAGGGAATGTTTATCGAACAAATCCTTGACAATTAATTAAAGAAAAAATAATAAAAATAATAAAGTTTACTATAGACTATTTAAACATTCGTGTAAATTTACCCAATTTATATATGACTTTAGCAAGTCTATACACGTGCCATGAGCAACGACATATCTTACTGAAAATTTCACTGTCTCTCTCGAATCTATTATCTAATATGTTATAACCAGACAAAACAAGAAATCCCACAAATCAATTGATGAAGTTTCCATTTGAATCTTTGTACATATGTCAAATGAGATAAAATATATCTTAAATGCAAATCTTTTTATATTTTCGTAATAAACCAACTTGTATGCTTTCGTTTATGGTCACCGTTGTTGATCAGGAAGAAATATATTAAATAATTGACTGAAATGTTTTGGAGCAAACCTTGTTTTTTATTAAATCTAATGCCAGTCATCTTTGCCTTTGCATTAAATACATCACTGATGTTCGTGAAATCAATGTGAACTTATAATTAGCAATTATATGAACTCTCAACTTTGACCGTACGGGGTTGAACGACACATGAATCAAAACGCACTCGTCTGGCTGGTTGATATTTACCAATCCTCGGAAATTCGTTTTCCAAAGCAACTTGATATTTTGTTTCATATTTTTGAAGTTTTGCAGTGGGTTTAGAAGGAGTTAATACCTTGAAAACACGAAAATGTGAATGGAAATCTTCAAAATGGCAGATAGCATCTGTGAAGCCAAACACAAATGAGGAAACAATTGTTCTGATTTTTGTTCAGATTAAAAATCGTAACACATCATCGACCACTCCAGGTCGTTTCTGATTGGCTATGATCAGGAGCATTTTAAATATAGTGTTAGGTTTTCCCAAAATCGGAACATTTCCCAATTTTGACAAATACGATCGGGAGGCCTAAATCAGGAGGCTACCGCCTAAATGCTAAATCAGGAGGCTTCCACCTAAATGCTAAATCAGGAGGCTTCCACCTAAATCAGGAGGCTCCCGCCTAAATGCTAAATCAGGAGGCTTCCACCTAAATCAGGAGGCTTCCACCTAAATCAGGAGGGTTAGCTAGTATGAGTATGGTACCTCAGTTCTGTCTTCACATTGAGGATATCCCGGATCCCTAAACTTGCTGTGGTGCTGGATATAAGGTCAACCTACAATAAGATAGTTGAAGAAATATCTGAGTGGAAGTCTATGGTTATCAATACAGATTTAGGTGCAAAAGAATCTTGGTTGATCAGACACTTTATAGACATTGCTGCAAGCAAACACTCTTTTGATCCTGATTAACTGCCATGGCAAATGACACTTGAAGTTTGCAGGGCCTTCTTTGATTCATATTTATTATATTTAATGCTTAGAAAATATTTATGATATTAATAAATGTATCTTTATTATTGCAGTCAATACATTATCATGCCGACAAAAGAGAAACAAAAACATTGACTGAGTATACTGTATAGTCATGCATGGATAAAAATCAAAAATGTAAAATTTTGCGAAATTTTGTTGTTATCTCAATACCCAGCTATATTATACTGACCTTGCTGTCAGGGAGACATGCACAGCATTGACCCATGAAAGGGCGGACAACTCTCAGAGTATCTGCTGTCACAATAGGTGTGGTCTTAAATTGGGCTATAAGTCTGGAAGAAACCTGTGGGTTACAGAACCTATATGAGTCTACATTGATTCACATGTCTCTTACAGCCAATATATCAGTATTTATATATCTCCAAAATCCAGGAGGCACTTTGTCAGCAATAGAATCAAATATAACATTATACTGATTTGATTCATAATTTTCAAACATTCATAAAAGTGGCATACATATTTCAATAATTCTATACCTATAACTACTGTATCTCGAGGCAATTTGTTATCAACAGTGTCACATTTCTCCAACATTCAAATGTATAAACAAATACCAACATTCAAAAATATATACAAATATTTCTTTATAACTAAAACTGCCTGGAGACAACCTGTAGGCACCAAATCTTCAGTAAGCAAGAGGCCCAGAGGACCTGTATCGATCACCTGGTTATGTTTAAAATGCTTGATATGAGGTTAAGATATAGCACTCCATGGTAGGTACTGTATGTACATATGCAATTTCAGAAAGATCCATCCAGAATTTCTGGAGATATAGCAAGAACAAACTTCAAATGTCAAAATCCAAGATGGCGGCCTGGTGGCCATCTTGTTTTAATGAATACACCCTAATAGTAACGGGCACTACTAGACAACTTGATGGAGACATTATTTGAGATAAAATCCTGTAATCCCTATGGTAGAAGAAGGATTTTAAAGGTTTACCTCTATTTCCCCTATTGGGCCCCTCTTCTTTGCCCCTAGGGGGACCACACCCAATGTTTATAAAAAAAGAGGCCCAGAGGCTTGTATCACTCCCCTGGAAATGTTAGCAAAATCGGAGTTGAAATAGCCAGATGTTGCGAGTAGTGTACATGTTGGTTAGTCAGGGGTTATATTTATATGCAATTGGACAAAATCCTGTCATTCCTACAGGAAAAGGAGAATTTGAAGCATTTGCTATGTTTCCCCTATTGGGCCCTGCCCCTCTGCCCCCAGGAGGTTCAGACCCATTGTTCATACAAAATTGGTTCCCCTTCACCAAAGGATGCTTTAGACCAAATATGAACAAAATCCTTTCATTTCTACAGAAGAATTTTACAGATTTTGCTAAATTACACCTATTTGGCCCCACCCCTCAGGCCCCAGGGGGTCAGACCTACAATTTATACAAAATTGATTTCCCTTCCCCATAGGATGCTACTGGTCAAATTTCGTAACAATACCATCATCCCAAAGGAAGAAAAAAGATATTAAAGCCATTCCTCTATATCCCTTATTGGGCCCGTCTCTCTGTCCCAGGGGGGTCAGACCCACCGTTTCTACAAAATTGGTTCCCGCTTACCCAAAGGTGCTTCATAACAAATTTGGTCAAAATCCTGTCATTCCTACAGAAGAAGGATTTTAAAGAATTTGCTGTTTTCCCTATTGGGCTCTGCCCCTTTTCCCCCAGGGGGGGCCACACTCACTGTTTATACAAAATTGAGTCTCTTTTGCCCAAGGATGCTCCAGACCAAATTTGGATGAAATCCCTCAATCCTTATGGTAGGAAAAGAATTTTTAAGGTTTACCTCTATTTCCTCTATTCGGCCCCACCCCTCAACCCTCAGGGGGGCCACACCCAGCGTTTATACAAAATTGAGTGCCCTTGGTCCAAGGATGCTCCAGACCAAATTTAGTTAAAATCCACTAAGCCATTCAGGACTAGTAGCGTTTTAAAGGAAAAGTTGACAGACGGACGACAGACGCTGCGCCATGGCATAAGCTAGCTTTCTTGCCCTTCGGGCAGGTAAGCTAATAACTGGACTACAGTTGTATTTCAATATGACATCAGAAAGGGTTATTTACAATATCTCAGCCAACCCAAAGTTATATTATACGTTATACACATTAAACCTCTGTAGTCTTCAGTAATGGGCAATTTTAACAGATTTGGACAAAACTTTCAGTCCATAAAGCTACTGGTCACACATCATGACGCCTTGACAATTAGACATATTAATATATTTGAAACCTGGCACATCCTTAAATGACCATAGCTGTTCATAAGATGTAAAAGACAAACAAACCAAACCAAGGACCCCCTGTTAACTTGTCATGTACCTTAGTGAAGGTAATTAATGGGAACTTTAAGCTGAATCACAGTCAGCTACAACCCATATTTCATCTTCTTTAACTTACTGAACATATTTGAGCCCTGTGAGAATGAAGGGGGGTCTAGGTCACTTATTTTAACATGGTTGACAGCCCTTCACTAAAGCTAGGTATCGGCCCAATATGGACTCCAGATGAGTTCTATCCAAGATTTACAGACCTAATCTAAGCAATAACCATTGAGGACAAAGGACAACATACAAATTATTCAGACCAGGTCCTTACCAATTGAAACTGAAAAATAATTACTTGTGTACTTTGGGGATATCTCGACTGTATTTTGAGATGTGTGACAACAATGCATAGAAAAACACACCTTTTTTCGAGACAATCGAGACGAATTTCCAAAAGGTATATCATGATTCATGACTATACTGCCAAAAAAAATTAGTTTGATCAACAAATCAAAAGTTGTGTTACATCTCAAATAAATTTAAATTTAAAACAAACTCACAGACACATAGAACAGGGAGTAGAAAAACTAACCGATACTGTCGAAGCTGACGTAGCTCTCCTTCGCTCTCGAACTTTTCTGTGACGTACTGGTCGCACACTATCCCCAAATTTGTCTGTCCAGCGCTGCCTCCCCTCACAAAGAATTCGGCTTGTCAACTGCCCTGTGACCTCCTTTGGTTTAGACGTAGGCGCTGAGGTTGGGGCACGCTGTTCCCATTTCTTATATACCAAATCCAGGTCAGGAGTGACAGTAGTGTTGGTTTTCAACATTGTGATATTTAACACTGACCTGATCAATGCAAATGAAAAATATAGATAGTTATAAACTATTTGGGTTTACAATTGGACAATTCTCATCATCAGCTCTATATAATTTAATTTTGCCTATAGATCTCCCCCATAATCTTTTTTTTGGTATATATCGTATATACCTAAAAAGAAAAACAACTGATGACGGAACTACTTTTTACACTTCAGAATGCAAAATTACAACGCAGCTTTATTTCAGCACAATTGTTAAGTTTACGTAAAAAATAAATAAATCTTTAACTGTGCAATTACAACGTGTTTGTCTACTTTTTTAAAAATTAAATTATAAAGAATGCCCAAGATTTTGTTTTGGTATATACGGCATATACCGGAAAAAAAATGTGCACTTTTTTGCATAAACCGCTTCGGTATATACCTATACCAAAACAAAATCTTGGTAATTCCTTAAATAACTAAATATATATTATAGGTCTACTGTCAGCATAGCTCCATGACACTGGTAAATCATCCAGGAACAGCACAGTACTGTAAGTCACCACCAATGGGCAGGAGGCTTAGAGCCCGGGGCTGAACATGCCCAATATATTAAAATAAGTCATTGACAATTTACATGCTCCAAGTAAATGCAATTCTAAGTGTGAATAAATTCAAAGTAGATAACTAAGAAAAAATAGTCTTTACAACACCTGTATAATCTACCCCTCGTTAGTAAATATCTCATTCATTTGTTTTTAGCACTATGAATTAGTATATATATATACCAGTATGTTCTATCAGTCAATTCATAACAGGAAGCAATAGGTCACCAAAATCTCAGGTCTGACCCCTGGGCCAAACGCTTACCCGCACACTAATGTAGGTCACAGGAAAGGTTTACGTATCTACCACTACTTCTAGTACCAATGTTGACAAATATATACAGTTAGTATATTCTATTATAATAAATGTTTTCTTATCACAGGGATAATCCTGGAGGGGGCCATGGGGCCACTGACCCTTCAAAACTGAAATTGACCCCTATATGTTCCAATATGTTTTTATTTTTACATAGAATGGCCCCTTTTAATTTTAATATGGACTGAAAATTGCTGAAAATGGCCCTCTGCTCTCAATTTCCAGGATTTTCCCTGCTAACAGAATATCTAAATTATTATTCTTATTCCACAAACGTTTTTCTAACACAATATTTCATATACTGTCCTTATTCTATATTTTATTTTTATTTTCTAATAGAATATCTCGCATACTGTCCTCTTTCTATTTAAATACCTCTTCTCCCAAATAAACATTAGTAATATTGCCCTGGTTGTGAAGCAACATAATTAATCAAGAGGGGAAACAAGGAATAATGTTTCCCTACCACAATGAATATTCAATTATTTTACCTAAGTAGAACAAAGATGTAACAATAAAGACGATCAAATACACAGGTTATATCCGACACCTGCTTCATTCTCTAGGATCTCATTAGTGACACATCTTCCTTAATATTCTAGAGAAGCCAAAGTCCGGGAAACTCAAGCAGGTGAGGGAAAGACAATATTTCCCAGTCATGTGATGAAAATAATCCAATCAATTGTGCCATTAGATAGATATTGAGACATAATAACACATTTTCTCCAACACCCTTTTTTCTACTTTTTAAAATTAAAAAGTTTTCACCAGATTACTGTGCATGTTAACCTACAAACTGTCAACATACCTATTTTAGTGCACTATCGTTTTTAACAATGCAAGCTCTGATGTAATAATAAACATAACAAAGGAAGTTGGATTAGTACAATAATGTAAGTGTGGAAAGAACCAATAAAATATTATTACAGTACTGCTAAATTACGTATTTCTACAGTACTGCTAAATTACGTATTTCTACAGTACTGCTAAATAACATATTTCTACAGTACTGCTAAATAACATATTTCTACAGTACTGCTAAATAACATATTTCTACAGTACTGCTAAATTACGTATTTCTACAGTACTGCTAAATAACCTATTTATACAGTACTGCTGCTAAATTACGTATTTCTACAGTACTGCTGCTAAATTACGTATTTCTACAGTACTACTAAATTATGTATTTCTACAGTACTGCTAAATTACGTATTTCTACAGTACTGCTGCTAAATTACGTATTTCTACAGTACTGCTAAATTACGTATTTCTACAGTACTGCTAAATTACATATTTATACAGTACTGCTAAATTACGTATTTATACAGTACTGTACTTTGAAAGTTAAACACATTCAATGATTTTAACACCAAATTAATTTTCAGTTTTAATATAACTCATGGGTGCAAATTGTTCTCTTGATACCGTATATGTGTACAACTTTTGACCCTTTAACCTTGACCAATGAACACAAAATCTCATCATGTGTAGCACCTGATCATGATGTGACTTGTTATTATACTATGTACAGTGATATTATAAACTGAATAGCTAATATCCCCATCCACTATCCAGTTTGTGTGGGATTGTGGGAGGGGGCCCTGGGGTTGAGGGGTATANGGGGGGAAGAGGGGGGGGGGGGGGGGGGGCTATAACTATTATTGACCCTTCTTACCCTGAAAATAATGTAATATAAACAAATTGAACGAAATGAAACATCGACAATACTTCCCGTTCAAAAGAAAACATTAAATATTTTAGAAGTGTTCAGAATAATCAACTTTATTGAATATTGGTCAATTAAGGCCAATTAGCTGATTAATCGACTACAGAATTCACGATCAGTTTTAATTGTGTGTAGATATTTCTAAACATTTTCTTCAGGTTGGTAAGTATGGATTATGAAAAGTTCTTTTTGACCATAAAGCGTATGCACACAAAGGTGTAAAATGTGTACGAGTTGTCCACAAAATCACAAGATCACTACAAAGCATAGCTGGATTGAGTCATTTCGGTATTTATATAACAACTATTGTACATACGCTTACAGCGTAGCCGAAATCGTCGTCGATTTTGTGGCAACTTGTACATATTTTGCACCTTTGTGTGCATACGTCATTTGTCTGATGAAGGTGACAGGGTACATATCGTACAAGTCATCGAAACGTCACATAGAAAATTGTATTGGTTGTGTAAAAAAGAACTTTTCATAACTGTGTGTAGATATTACGGAGTTTTCTGTAGAGTGACTCAAGTCTATCACTTGTTAGATACGTAAACATACAAACAAGACTTAAACAGCAGAAGTGTCCTGATATTTATTGCTATGCTGGCATTATTACCGACTTACTTTTACTTTCAAGTCTGCTCATGGCCACATAGGACTATAAATTACAGACCAACCATTTGAAACGATCTTATTCTTACTAGTACAGTTTTTCATTTCCGTAAGTGAATCGCAACAACAGCATGGAGGATCTGATTATGTATATATCTTTGAAACGATTATTAATCAATAATTGGTTAGCAACGATAACCAATGATTTACCATAATATTTCAACCAATTTCCAACAGATATTTTTCTGCCAAAATTATATGTTCCTGCCGTAAACACTGCTGCTGTTTATTTAGAGAAATGACATCATCATACACACATATATATATATATATATTGATCCAGCCGAACAAGGAATTGATAGGGGAATAGAACGGGCTCCCTGACAAGCACTAGAAAACATTATACAGGCCTAGCCTGTTATCTAACTGTTTCATTCATACAATCAAATTTGTTCAAATGAAAAATATAATAATGGTGTCAAGCCAATCAAGGTTTTACTGTATGTGCTGAATTCTATGAATTCGGCTAAGGTATAGTACTAAGTGTATACAACGTATTAGTAGCCCCCACCACCACCACTACTGTATCTTCAAAGTCTTCATTTAAATGTCATTCAATCGTCCAGGAAAAATAATGCTTCAGACCAAATTTAGGAAACGCCCATTTTGCTTTTCTGTACATGTAGCATTTGGAACCAAAAGCTGACAGTGGACTTACAGAATTATGATGAAGTCACAACACAACACAGGCTTACTTCTTGCCACGTAAATTAATAGATTTGAATGAGGGACATTACATATACCAGGATGCTGTACTAAATACTTTTGTTTAAATAGGTACGTACACATCATGGTTTGTGAAAGAACATCAAAGGTTAATTTTGAAATCCGTAACAAACAAAAAAAAAAAAAAGTTACACGAACCAACCAACCAACTATTTAAGTTACACGAACCAACCAACCATTTAAGTTACACGAACCAACCAACCGACCATTTTAAGTTACACGAACCAACCAACCAACCATTTAAGTTACACGAACCAACCATTTTTAGTTACACGAACCAACCAACCATTTAAGTTACATGAACCAACCAACCAACCATTTAAGTTACACGAACCAACCAACCAACCAACCAACCATTTAAGTTATACAGGGAATCAGGCAGCCCAACAACTGTTACAGAAACTCTAGATGTTCCAGTAAAACATTGATGTACATGTAATATAAAATAAATGTTTATTTTACAAAAAAGATTAAACCAATTGTTGGCCTAAATGGTATCCTCGCTATCTAGGGGTAATGCTCACTTACACTCTCTGCACCCCTGGAATATGTCATAGTAAAATTTTCGGCTGATTGTGCGCCACATTGTTGATGAGACAATAAGACTAGCTTGATCCTTTGTTAGTTTGATGTACATCAAAATAATCTCGCGATGGCGTAACGGTAAAATCGACTGACTTTGAAGTCGGGCATCCCTTCTCTGTAATCAAAGGACAACAATTGGTCAGGTTTTTTACCCGAGACCAATCAAATACCTATTATGCTAGGACTTATTCCAGGGGTGGAGCGAGTGTAAGTGAGTGTAACCCCCTGGAGTATCGATGTGAGGATGCCTAAATGAAAGTGTGCAAAAGTTCTAATGAAATGACAGGATGACAGAAGAAAACAAACCAAAGTGATTAGCACCTTCAGGTGACAGAGACATACCAAGTGTGTGGATAAAATAAATCATAAATAAAGAGGCTTATCACTCCAGTCAACGTTGTCCTGTCATTTTTTATATCTAATGGTACAGGTAAGTATATCATACTTCCTGTTTCCAAACACCTCGACACATGGACTGTGACATGTACACAGTCATAGACTAGGACGTCCTAAGGGCAGCACGCCTGAACTCGGACAAATCTTAAATGCTATATGTATTTATCAAAACCAAACAGTCTACTGTCTATTATCAATGCAAAAATACAATTACAGCGATATAAATATAGTATATTGTGTGGCTTTAATTTAATATCAGGACTTAATTAGTATGTACATTAGAATAAGATAAAATGAAGATAATAGTTCCTTGATAAAACTGTTTTACCATTATCAGTGGGGGTTTTATCTCAATTTTACAACAGCACCTGTTCCTTTATGCATTGGGAAACTAAAGCATTATTTGTACTGAGTTTGGGGATATATTCCAGTTTTGTTTGGTCATTTTGGGAAGATAAGGCACTTTAAGCTATAGGGGAAACAGCCTGTATTTGGCAGTAAAACTGAGCAGAAAAAACCCAATGATTATTGAAACTGGAAGTGAGAGAGTGATTTTTTATTAGTACAGTGTAGTGCCATAATATATAATAGCATAATTATACCATTTACTGTGAACTTAGCCAGACTGTATTAAACGTTACGTATTAATTTAATTAATGTAATTAATTTGTAATGATATCATTAATTAGTGTTAATACACTGTGTGGTAGGACATTCGACCATGATGTCTTTGTCTGCCATATACATACAAGGCATCATTTCTTTCATTAGACAATAGAAGGGCTGCTGTACCCACACAGTACATACAGTATCAGCTCTATTGATTTTTAACAAGATAAACAACTAATTATATATATAGTCACAATGTGGTCACAATATAATTGTGTATATATATATATATATATTGTATAGTGGTGTATTTAGAGACTGTTAGGGTCTATTCTTGGAAATAATAGTCAGAAAGTCAGAAAGCAACCAGAAATTCTGACAAATTACATTATCCATGTTAACCCTTTCAACATTGTGGTGTAGTTAAAGAAATTTACAAAAAAACATCAAACAGTTATTCAGACCAGTTTTATTCATTTTCGTTATATTTTTATAGGGCTTTTAAATAAATGAGACTTTATTTTTGTTTACCTGCCCAGGAAAACAAAGGTGTCGGACGTTTAAGTGCATTCCAGTTAGTTAAAATTGCTCATAGAGGTTAAAACTAGCGCCAGTCGGGGTACCTGAAACATGTATAAATATGTTTTTTGCCTATGGAGCGACAGCTGCATTAACCATGTTTAATAGAACTTTTCTCAACAAGTCAAACCTTCACCAGGTTTGTTTTCATGTTTTAAGGGGAGACAATGATAGTTAAAGTGTTCAATAAAATTATTCTTCAACGGCCATACTTCACTTTAAGTGTTTAAATTGAATCAGTTCATGATTAACTATATATAGCAACAGTGACATTGGCCGTGAACTTGGAACACTGAAACACAACAATGTCCCAAGTATACTCATACTTGACCTTTGCATAAAGTTTGACCAAAATCCATGAAAGAATGAAGTTGCTAAGTGTTTAAATTGAATTAGTTGATGATTTTCTATATATAGCAAGTGTGACCTTGGCCTTGACCTTGGATCCCTGAAATACAACGATGTTCGAAATATACTCATACTTGACCTTTTTATAAAGTTTGACAAAATTTTGTCAAAGAATGAAGTTGCTAAGTGTTTACATTGAATAGGGACGGGACGGACATGGGCAACACTATATGCCCCCCCATTTTATGGCAGGGGCATAAAAATCCCATAAGTACGTCCTGTGGCCATCTTGTTTTTATGATCACTCTCCAAAGTAAACAAACACAACTACAGACCAAGGGAACCTACATGTCAAATTTGAGAAAGATCCTTCCAGAACTTCCTGAGAATGTTCCCTGTCAAAATCCAAGATGGCCACCTGTTGGCCATTTTGTTTACCTGATCAGTCTCAAAAGTAAATATGCACAAGAACAAGCTAAGGTAAACCTACAAACAAAATTTAAGAAAGATCCCTCTGGAACTTCCTGAAAAATAGTGATAACAAACATTCACTGTCAAAATCCAAGATGGCCATCTGTCGGCCATTTTGTTTTACCGATCAGTTAACATGCGCAACTACAGACCAAGGGGAACTTTCATAAAAAAATGAAAGATTCCTCCTGTACTTTCTGAGAAAAAGCTGTACAAGAATTGTTTACGGACGGACGAAGGGTGATTTGAATAACCCACCATCAGATGATGGTGGGCTTAAAAGCAACAAGATGATAATTCAACCCCAGGACCTTAAAACCTTTAGGGGAACGCTCTAACAAACTGAGCTACATGGTCACTAACCAGTCCAGTTTTGCTCCATCCTTCTTTTTTCCAGAATGCCTTTGATCAGGTGACACAGTGGATACTACACCCATCTTTCACCAAATTGGCAGGGGTTTGATTCCCAAATCAAACCGTGAACTAATGGGGTCACCTGCCAAAGCACATGGACTTACTACGGAATCTTCTAATATTTCAGACTACATACATGCTTTAGTCCATTGTCATCTGCGGGATAACTGAGCTACTCGGTAGTGAAGCGGACATAAAACCAATCAATCAATCTTCCATCCAGGCCAACAAGAGTGGTTAATATCACAGGGACTAGAGAATTTGTTACAGAAAGTCTATATAAACCCCTAAATCATGTAAAATTACTATGAACACCTTAGTTTAGGTCTAAATATAGCTGTAAAAAATGATCATGTCCCTGTGGTTGATATCAGTTGATAGAACTTTATTCATAACTGTTGTAAAATAAAGTTCACATACAAAATATTTCTGATCCACAAACACACAAGACAATTCACGTATTCCATTGGGATATTTAGTTGGGGACAACAGTTCGGGAATCAAACTCATTACCCAGCTGAAAATCCAATGACCAGACGATCTACCTGGTGACCAGGAGTTGACCCAAGTCAAGGTTAACACTGATGGTCTGACCAGATACGGGATAAGATAAACAAATCTCAATACCGCAGTATACAAATGCAGGGGACATAGCATACGATAAATATGCAAGTGCACACACGTACCGGTATAAAATCCAAATTTATATTAGGATAAATAATGTTGAACACAGAAGAATTGTTTTTGCTTTGTGGTCATAACTTGAGTGTCTAAGCTTAAGATCAGTTGCATCAATTTTTGACACGCAATTTTGATACCATCGATACAAATGCTGATACGTCCGAGGAAATAGAATCAGGAAACCAGACAAATCCAGTTATTAAACGATTGATAAGCAATGGCCGAGTCAGATCAGTAAAGTCTGATGTCGGCAACAATGACCTCTGCCGGTCATACAAACTTACCTTCGGTTAATCAAGTAGATGTATTACTGTGTCGACATGGTGCAATGTTCCACGCCTAGCTGGGTGGACTTGTTATCTGTTCTAACACTATCACCATATTGTGACCAATGTCCAGTGCAATATGCATGAAGTTGTTCTCACCGGACATGTGCGCATTGAATTTTGTCAACAAGCCCATTACAGAAGAAAGGACAATACTGATTGGTTGACTTTCATTCACCGACCAATCGAAATTGGCGTTGTAACCATTCCGCATAATGAGATATGGTAAAGGAGAGAACCGTATGTCGGTTCCCGGAAATCTTATAATCATATGATGCAATATTTGACACTATATACCCTCAAGACATCGGCGGTCTGCCTTATCGCAGTCACAACAGATCCATCACATCCGTAGTACTATATCTACCTACCAAGGATACCCGTGGCAGGTAGAAATGCCATTCATAATTAATAAGATTGAACCAATTTATTCAAGCAGGCCGCCTGGATACTGTTTGCTATAGGCCTACACGTCTCTGTTTTCAATAATTTTATACAATGCAATTTTCGTTCAAAAAAAATAAAAAAATAAAAAAATAAATCAGTCAACAAATGAAGATTATATATGTTTTTCAATTTTGAAGCTAGAGGTAAATGATAGACTCACAGATAGCTTCCGTGGTATAAATGTGCTTTACAAGTATGTTTATTAGAGCGGATACTAATTCCGAGTTAATTCCTACACATACAACAAATTACAGATACTACCCACAATTTCCCCCAATATCATGTTGCAGAGTTTCACCAATTAATAGGAAAACCAGGTACACACACATATATATATATATATATATATATATACACTACGTCTTCTCTCCCACTGGGAAAACATATATTTGACAAGTACCTGTTCAATAGAGGATGTACGAACGAGGATTAGCATTGGGACCCAGCAAGACAACAACTAGCTATCTCCGTCCCGTCATAACCACGTAATTCACACTGACTAATACCAGAAGTAAATAAGTGTCAACTGATGTTTACATCGACTAGTGTATGTCCCGTGGTTTATTTATAGCTACAAGCTTAAAAGTTCCCCGGGCAATTGAGAAAGTGCTATCGGATCAATGAACATTGACTTTTTGCTATAGCCATACGCTCTGGGTTCTCAACCTCAAACTTTGATTATGTGATCAAACCTATGCACTTTATTGAGGACATGGAAGAATTTTGGAGAGGCTTAAGTAATCAGAAACCTGTTTTCAATGTTTACACTTGACTTTTTGACAGTGTTACATGGCGCGAGTTGCAAGAAAGTTTGTGTATGAATACGGGCCCCGGTTTTGCGCGTTGAAAGCAGCATCATCTTACTATGTCGACCTCCTACCGGTTCATCAGTTTGGATCGCGATAATTATGAAGAAGTTTGTTTTTGTGAGCAAAAACGTTTGCCTCCAATTTAACGATTTAAAAGTGACGGCCCGGACAAAGATATTCATGAAAATAATGCACTTGTTTGACCTCCGAACTCGAAGTCAAGGTCACAATGACCTAACGATAACGCACTTATACTGCAAGTTTTATCAGGATGGTATCTTTAATTTAGCACTTGTTTGACATAACTGTTCGAAGAATTGCCAACTGCTAAATTATAAAATACATATATGAACAAGTTCTAATTGTAATGGGGACCATTACAGAAGTCCTCAAAACTGACTCCATAATCGCAAATGATGTTTGGATAGAGTTTACAATGCCATCATATACTTGCATAAAAAGTTAAAGCAAAATCTGACACAGTGTGGGACCGTTGGCATCACCTTGGCGTACACATTTAAATGTTATTATAATAATGAAATGGCGACCACTTGTATTGAAATGACTTACCTTGGAATATCATGAAATTGCAGCCTTATGTAATGAAATGACGACACCTCATAATGAAATCACAACCCGTTACATATTGAAATGACTAAACGTTTTATATCATGAAAGGACTATGTATGGTTTGGGCCTGTTTTGACCCCCAAATGCATCAAAATTCAAAACCTTTAATTGATCTTTGAAATGACTGTTTATTTATTTTCGAATACTTCCAAAATGCTATTATGAAAATATTTATTTATAATTCTAATTATTGTTGCCATGGTAACAAGTCAAAATTTGCATAAATTAGAAAAATTTGAACATTCAATGAATATTGTGATATTTTGCTTAGTTTTTCTCCTAGAAACTATAGTTGATATAGTTGTCGACACCAATGGAAAGCTTCAGGTAGCTTCTTGCGGCGCATTTTAATGTTCCTATACTAATACTCGACTTCCGGTGCGTATTGATATAGAGGAATTAAAATCCAGAAATCTTACAGTTAAAAGGTGAGTTAAGATATCAAATGATCTGACTGGATCTTGCTAATAGAAGGAGGCATTGAATTTACAGGGGTGTTCAGAACAAAACTTGTTGAGTCTGTGTTTAAAACTATTTACACTAGGGGCATTTACCACATGGTTTGACAAACTATTCCAGGACTTCACAACCCTGTTGCTGTAGCTGTTACTGCTTAATTAGGGATTTCCATTTCGGATAGAAATACTTATTGATATTGTTCTGTTTTTTTCTTACGATTTTTATATTTCCACATATCTTGTTAACACTTTATTATGGCAAGCCAATTTAACATTTATTCAAGGAGCAATGTCGATCCTGTATTTCATCGAATTATATAAGATATCTTATATAGCATATGAGATATCTTATATAATATATAAGATATCTTATATACTATATGAGATATCTTATATAGAAATTAAATGATATGCTATGTAAGATATCTTATATGATATATAAGATATCTTATATCGTATATAAGATATCTCATTTAATTTTCTATATAAGATATCTTATATAATATATAAGATATCTCATATAGCTATATAAGATATCTTATATAATTGAAGTCTCGTTACTAAATAAGATATCTTATATAGGAACGAGATTTTAACAAAATGTCGAAATTGAAGTCTCCCCGTCCAGAATATCTCGAGGATCTACGTAGGGACAGTAGGCTCGTTGTAACAACACGTGTTCCTGTCGCCGCCATTATGTCAGAGCCCACTTTAAGAGTGCGGGAAATGGCGGCCTCTGCTTTGGCCGCTATAAGAGAGACAAGGCGAGCTAGGCCTAGGGAAAATACAGCATCCGTACCATCCCTCTCCGCCATTGCGCCCAATGCAATCCTGAATGTGCTCCGAATGATTCTCGACGGAGAAATTAGTTTCTGGTTTTTAATGCCACGAAATCTCATTCTATATCAGATATCTTATATAGCAACGAGATTTCAATTATATAATATATCTTATATAGCTATATGAGATATCTTATATATTATATGAGATATCTTATATAGAAAATTAAATGAGATATCTCATGTATTATATAAGATATCTTATATAGTATATAAGATATCTCATATGCTATATAAGATATCTTATATAATTCGATGAAATACAGGATCGACATTGATCCTTGAATAAATGTTAAGTTGGCTTGCCATACTTTATCTCAAGAACGAACAAAGATATGACGTTCATATTTCAGTACATGATAAAGGACAACGATCTCACGATACCCGAACAAAATCATGATTGTAACTCCAAAGGTCAAGGTCACAGATATATAAATATAGAATTATTGAACGTTTTTCGAACGTCTCTAACTTCAAAACCGTTCGTTGTACTGCATTAACGCCTTAAACTTCACGCAGACCTTGGTCGCGGCTAACTTTTTTCCATGACATGTTTTCAGAGAATATCTCAAGTTAAAAGCCTCGCTATGGGGTCAAATATAGGTCAAAAATGAAAAAATCAAAATAAGTTCAATTTTTATCACATCACTAATGGCATGTTTTAATGAAGGTATTTCCATAGATTCAAGGTCATAGCATCAAAAATGACGAAGATATGCCACTTTGAATATTTCGTTTCCCACCAAAATTCAAAATTTCCAAAAAATACTAAAAACGCTGCTTCTCCTTCATTAAGACACATACAGAGTTGATATTTGGCACATCTATAGTATGTATGTTCAACTTCACATAGAGTTCAGCATTTTGACCTTGACCTTCATTCAAGGTCACAGGGGTCAAATGATCTTGTGGACACTCTATCTCAAGAACGAATAAAGATATATCGTTCATATTTCAGTATGTATTAGAGGACAAGGAACACATGGTATGCGAACAAATTCATGATCATAATGTCAAAGGTCAAGGTCACAGATCTAAAAATAGAGTTTTTAAAAACGTTTTTTGAACGACCATAACTTCGAACGCTTTAGTTGTACTGCATAAACGCTTCATACTTCTTGTAGAACTTAGTCGGGGCTAACTTTAATAGGGCCCCGTATCACTCTGTCTGTCTGTCCACAAATGTTGTTCCTGGCTGATAACTTTGGTATGTATTGACCGATGTACATGAAACTTTGTCAAGATGTTCAGTTCACAAAAATACACATTGAGGTAAAAAGTCAAGGTCAAAGGTCAAGGTCATTAGGTTCAAAGGTCAAGGTCAAATTTTACATCTTTTCACTGATGAACATTTTGTTATGACATTATGAATCAAAGTTGATCAGAATTAAACAAGGAGTCAACTGACCAAAGGATAAGGTCATCGGGTCAGGGGTCAAGGTCAAATTTTATAGCTTTTCACTGGTGAACCAATTCGCTATGACATTATGGAGCAAGGTTGTTAGGAATTAAACAAAGAGACACACTGAGATAAAAAGTCGAGGTCAAAGGTCAAGGTCATTAGATTCAAAGGTCAAGGTCAAAGTTTGCATCTTTTCACTGATGAACATTTTGTTATGACATGATGAAGCAAAGTTTATCAGAACTAAACAAGGAGTCAATTAACCAAAGGTCAAGGTCATTGGGTCAAAGGTCAAGGTTAAATTTTGTATCTTTTCACTGGTGAACATTTTGCTATGACACTTTGAAGCAATGTAGCTCAGAATTAAACAAAGAGTCAATTGACCAAAGGTCAAGGTCACCGTGTCAAAGGTGAAGGTTAAATTTTGTACCTTTTCCCTGATGAAAATTTTGTTGTGACATTATGAAGCAATGTTGTTCAGAACTTAACACAGAGTCAACTGACCTTAGGTCCAGGTTACGGGGTCCAAAGGGTCGAGGTCAAGTTTTGT